TTTGAACTTATTGCCATTTGAGTTTTCAAGTTACCGAGGAAACAGAGGAAGCTTTTCATGCATCTGTCTCTGAGTATCTGCAAGAATGCAAGGATCACTGCTGGCATGAACACAATAACCTCTGAAGGTTAGAGGCTCTGGTTTTCCAAATCCTGCCTACTTAGATCATGTACATGCAACAGCAGCACTGCATACATTACACGGCATGCCCCATGAGTAACAGAGCTTAGCCTGGGATGTTACTATACAGAGGTCCAAAAAGGCTCTCAGTAAGAGGATGTCTTCTTTCAATCGAAGATCATGTCACCAAACACACCCCCTCCACAAGGTCTTGAGAACATCTACCACCATTACTCTTGCAATGCAGCACTCGCTGCTTTCCCAAGTCAGCCAGCTTCACACAAGAAACAAAATAATCTGTAGTGAGGGACAATGGCTCATCCCCAAAATTATTATTTTAGCTTCAGGGCGACTTCACCAAAACCTGCTCCTGCTTCAGTACCCCCTCACGCATCAAAAGAATCTGCTCCATAAATCAAATCTCAGCACCCCTTCTTCAGGACCTCAGCAGCACAATTCAATGGCTAGATGAAACAGCTGTGGTTTTGCAGTCATCTTTACACTGATGCCATACATCTGCATATAAATAAGTATTAGCACGTAAATGTGTTTTGATCATCCATGTGGCATTCGCATTCTCTAAAACTATTTCCCCCCATTTTCGTGGTTGTTTTAGAATGAATCACGTATTAAGAGACTTAACAGAAAAAAGAGCTTTTTCTTCAATTTAAGCTAAAATCCGTTTCAAAGCAGTCTTCCTGCATAGCCTTCCTGATGATGGCATAACATTGACTACTTAGCAACTGAGACAAAACTGAAACAAAAGGTTTGAGGTCTAAACTTTATTAAAACAGATTTTGAGGCTAGTTGTGAAACTTACTCCATTTTTACTTTAATGCTACAAAAAAACTTTTGTTGACAAATTCTCATCACACTTTTGTTCAACAGAAACACATTAATATTTAGCTACCTGCACAGTGCTCCTCTCAAGTTTGGTAAACAGTTTTTAACTCACTGTTCTGGGACTCAGGATCTGGGAAACAACAGCCGCTTAACTGCATCAGTACACGGGTTACTAGGGGCCTGGAATGGTGACTTATCGATTAGGTGGCTGGATAGTACCATTTAGACACCATAAACTGCTTTTTGGCAACCAAGCTAGTTAGCTTCCAGCTAGCTTAGCAGCCTCTAAACAGATCAGCAGTACCGCTGTTTGCAAGCTAATAATCCTAGTGGGAATATTTAAATTCAAAGAACCAATGTCTGTTTATTTTCCTACTCTGCAGGGTCCTTAGCTTGGCTTGCAAGCTGTTAGACGCAGGATACCCGGCTGCCTTACCATTAAGCCAACACGTCCACGAATGCCTGCCCTGCTGAAACACCCCTACCACAAAGGCAGCCACACTTCAGAAAACCAGTGTACCGGTGCTACTTAGCTCTAACACTAAACAGCCTCACGATTATAAGCGTAAATGTCGAATCTCTTCAGTTTTCACTTCCCAGATACTCGCACCTATTCAAGAGCCTTTCCATACTGTTGCATCCCCCCTCCCACCAGGAAGCGCTGGCAGCCTTCGTGGGGGGCAGTTAAATGCTCAACCTGTCGACCAGTTTGCCCTGCGCCTTTTCTTCCTCCCCAGAGACGACAGCACCAAGCAGGGTTCAGAGGCGCCCGCCAGCCCCTAGAGTTACTTCTCGGCCATTTACCCGCTGCTCTCCCCGGCTCCTGAGGGGCCGCTGCGGGCCTCGCCTCACCCGAGGTCTGCCCCTTTGGCGCGAAGCAGGCCAAGGGCCAGCCCCCACACCGCTACGCACGCACTCACGGGTAGAAGCTGAGCTTGCTCCGATCCCTGGCGCTCTGCCCGCCCCGGTTCTTGCAGGTGGACGCAGCGCAGTACCGCGGCATAGCGGCACGGCGCGCCCCAGGCGGTGGGCGGAACCATCCGCTCAGCGGGGGCACGGAGGGAGGATTCCCGCGAGCAGAGGCAATAACCCCTCCCACCACCCCGCGTCAGGGGAGGAAGTCCCGCCCAGTGGCGGCGCCGGCGTGTTTGCGTCACGTGGGGCTGAGCAGCCAATGGCGTAGCGCTTCGTGTAGGAATCGCTGTCGGGGCGCGGGGGAAGGTCTGCGCGCGCGCTTTCGTGCGCTGGGCGGGAGTGGCGGTTGGTCCGCTGAGGGGCGGCGGGCGCGCTGGCGGCGCTGAGCGGGGTCTGAGGTGAGCGGCGCGGCGGGACCCGGCCCGCCTCCGGTGGGGACAGGGGCGGCCGCTGCCGGAAGGCTTGGGGAAGGCGCGGGGGAGCTGGAGGGAAGGCGGAGGGGCCGGAGAGGTGCGGGTGCGCCGGAGCGGCTGGGGGAGGGAGTTGGGGATACTGGGGGCTGGCTTGGTGGGTGTATTTGTTCTCCGGCGTCTCATTTCTCTATGGGCCCATTTGCTGTGATCTTGCCCAAGCCTGGCTGGCTCGGAGGTGGGTGAGAGTCGTTCACTGTCGCTGTTGTCGTGTGCCGAGCCCTGGCTCGGCCTCGCTATGTGGCTCGGCTCTGGTGAGGTTCTTTAGGTCTGGCTAGGGAGGATGATGCTGGGGAAGGCTGTTTCGTTTCCTTATTCTTAAGAGCAAGACTCAGGAGCCTTCTGCTACTTTTGCTTTCGGGTCAGTGTAGGGGAAGCCAGGAAAAGTACAAGCCATGATGTTTGTCAGCCTTTCATGTGGGTGGCTGTGTACTTGGCGATTTGCTTACTCATTGGGTTTAGTCGTGATATGAGAACCAGTGGAAGGCTTTGGTAACTTTTTTAGTTCCAATAAGTTGTTTGCGAAAATAATTGACATTAGGATTCCACTAGGTAGTGCGTCACAGTTCCTGTGATCAGAGTAGTAGTGACTGTGGGTTTTCTGAGTACGTAAAACTTCATGAATATAAGCATTTACCTAGCATCTGCTAATTACTTTCAGAGAGGAGTGGAATGGGGCGTTTGCGTTGCCAGATGGAAGTGGATCCTTATTTTCTATGTGTAACATGTTTTCTTCCAGGGGTATCATCATTAAACACCAATTCATTGTATAGCTATTCATAATATTGAAAAAACTGATGAAGAACTGTGATACTTTTGATAAATATTAGACAGTATACTTCTTATACCAAGCTGAATACCAATTGAGATCTGTAACTTCTTACCTAACAGCGTTAAGTAGTTAACCTGTATTAATAAAATCTCTAACTTTATTGATAGATGTGCCTAAATAAATGGAGTTTGTCATAGTTGCTAGGAAAGACTGTAGTGACATGAGCTTTTTGTCCGGAATTATATAGAATTTAATGAATTCTGAAATGTTTTAAGCAACTACTGTGCATAGCCTGGGAAGTTAAACACTGACCCTTTTCTGTTGAGAAACTGAGGGAGAAGAGGCAGAAGTAGAACAAGTGTTTAAAAGAGATTTTATTTTGAAAGGGGTTGTGAAAATAGTTAGGGGAGGTGGGGTGGAAGTTAGGCATTTAGCATGTTAACAGCAATTCTAAGATGCTGATAGATAGATGAGATACTTATTTGCTTAAACGTAAATTGAATAATTGATTATAGTGTCTTACTATGTCTTCCTGATACCCTTATAAGTTTAAATTGCTGCTTTTATTGGAGTGTCAGTTATATTTGATTTTCATTTACACTTCCTTTTACTCTTGAGTTTTACTGAATTGTTCAAGGGCAGCATTAAACCTGTTTACATTATTTAAAAAAAACCAACCAAACAACAAACCAGTGAAACTGAATTACTGATTTATTTTTTTTTTAAATATGCTTTAGAAATCCAAATAAAACTAGGAGCAGTATATCATAGAACTGCATTACAGAAATCCTAGTGTAAAAGTGCAGAAAAGGGAAAACTTAGGTGTAATTAATTACCAGGAATAATAGATGTGGAGAAGGTTGGGCAAAAAAACCCAACAACCTTCAAACCAGTGACTTGATGTTCTCTGGCTCTTGGGGGTTTTAAAAGAGGATTTGGCTCAAGAATGGACATCAGCTGCTCTTTTTAGCTCTTTTCAGTGTTTAATAGGAGAAGTGGGGAGTTTAGCCTTAGGAGAATGCAGCAGGTGATTATACAAGTGTGATGCAGATGTGGGGAAATGAAGTTAAATAAAAACAATCTCATATGTGAGATGAAGGCATAAATCTATATCTATAAAGCAGAGACAGGAAGAAAGCCCCAGAAGTGTGAAAGGGTGTGAACGTACAGGGTTCTTACTGTCCAAGTGGCAAAGTTTCAGGTTAGTGAAATGGCGAGAGAAGGCACATGGAAGAGCCTTGGAAAGGCTTGAGCTAAAAATATGCCTGGTATCATGCACGAAGAGTATTGAAGGTAGCTGTTCGTTTGGTATCAAAATACACTGATTGAAATACAGTTTGTTTCAACTGCTGCTCCTTAACACTTGCTATCATGCAGGCTGCTAGCCAAAGAAATGCTTAGGGTGTCATGGGTACTTATGAGCTGTTTGCCCTTGGCTCACAATGTTCATTTTAGCCCCCTGACCTACTTATTAGAGATGGTATTTTTTTTTCCATTTTTAGTGGTTGGGTGTTAATTTTCTTTAGAGGATATGGACTTTCCTATTAAAGACTTAATTGTCTTGTGTACCTGGTATTCAAAGGGTTAGAACTCTGGGTGAAAAATAGTTGGGCCACACAGAGTCTAAAAGTATTCTGACTTTAATGGTGCTCAGACTGTGAGGTTAGCTTATTCAACTTTCAGGAAAGTAATGCCATTCATCTCTTTAGTTTGTATTTATGGTACACTTGAATCGGTGTAATCTGGTGAGCGAGATGTGTTATTTCTGGTACATTCAGGGCCTTGTTGGGCATCCTGCTGGCCAGGTGACAACTTTTAATTACTGTTGAAGCTGCTTGTCTTGTCTAGAAAAATTTTATTTTTTTTTTTTTTTAGTTCAGACATTGACAGTGTCGTATGTAAACCCTTATATGCAGTGGTATTTATCAGATGAATTCTGTAATATCAAAGAAATGGTAGGTGTTTTTATTTATAGTATAATCTAATATGAAAGTAAGCTAAGCCCAACCCATTGTAAAGTAAATGTGCCTACTTGACTGACCTCTGTACTCTAAGTGAGGGTTTTATTTATCATGATCACCTTAGGTCATTTAAATGACCTTTTGAAGCTGAGCATGAGTGTCTTGATAGTCTTGTCTTCCTGTGCCTCACAGTTGATCTCTGGACTACTTGTGTTTTCAAGTTCTTATTATTGCACAAGATAATCATTGAATTGGTTTTCCAGTATTGAGGTTTGGGTTTTTTTTGTTGTTTGCTTTTTTGTTTGTTTGTTTTTTTTTTGCAACTTGGGCTTAATTTAGATAGAGCTACTGCATTTATGGTGCTAAAATCTGAGGATTAGTTTAAAGCTAATTCAGGTATTCCAGTATGAACTGTTTGATACAGTGAAATATATTACATATTTACTTCAACAGCTCGGTGGGAGAATGCACACTTAATGGTAGGTGTAAAACAAAGGTGAACGCTGGAGTGTGCTTGTTATGCATGTGAAAAGTGAATTCACAGTATTTTCATTTACATGATCTGTGATTATGAAACCAAAGGAATGGAGGTTAACGTGTGAAATAGCATGTTTACATGTCTGTCACTGAGTGACTTATGGAACATGCAGGTCTTCTCCCAGCCTATAGTTGCACCTTTAAATGATTGTGGAATGTGAATTAACATGCTCTTCAAGTATATTTCTTTCTCTTTCTAGGAACTAGAGAAATGGCCACTACACAGTCTGTCTTCACATTTGCTCTCTGCATTTTAATGATAACCGAATTAATACTGGCTACAGAAAGCTATTATGATATCTTAGGAGTTCCAAAAACTGCATCTGACCGCCAGATCAAGAAGGCGTTTCACAAGTTGGCTATGAAATACCACCCAGACAAAAATAAGAGTCCTGGTGCAGAAGCAAAATTTAGAGAAATTGCTGAAGGTAATATATGCTAACCTTAGTCTTAACAGCTTGCATCTGTGGGCAAATGTGGCAACTTACATATATTCTGCATTTGCTGAATAAGAAGTAAAAAGTGTTGTTTTTCCTTATTCTACTTCTGTGCTGTCAAATGTCCAGCATTGGTATCTGATTTGTTTCTGTGACTTCACATGTAGGCAGGCCTTTTACACAGCTTGTTTGTTGCTGGTTTTTAGGCTGTTTGGCTTATGTGTCTAGTCAAAAAATACCTGGTGGTAGGACAACTGTAGCCCTAGGAGGTTAATTCTTGTCTTTTGATCTGCCTAGTAAGATCCAGCTCAGGATTACTAGGTCTTCAGGGGGACCTAATAGCAGTGTTCCAGTAACAGCGGGGAGATGAAGAACACAGCAGGGTGCTTCAGTGGTTCATGGTGGGAGCACAAGAGACTACAGGTGCAAGAAGTTCAGAGTGGTTATAAACAAAAACTTTTTCACCTTGAGGATAGGCCATCATTGGAGCAGGTTGCTTAGAAAGGTTGTGCAGTCTCCAACCTTGGAGATTTTTCAGGCATGAGTGGGTAAAGCTCTGAGTAACCAAGTCTGGTCTCATAAATAACCTTACTTTGAGCAAGTGGCTGGAGATGAGATCTTCTGAGGTCACTTCCAACCTGAATTATCCTGGGATCCTAGAAATACACCATTCGTAAGTGTTTAGTGATAAATACAATGCTGGAAGCAAATAATAAAGATTAGAAAAAGACTTGCTAAAAGATGAGCTGTTCCCGTTTCTGCTCCCCATAGGCTCTCTTATAAGTCTGTGTTTGTAGTACTCCTGACTAATAAGCGATTTCTGGGGTTTACCTTCTTGCCTGCAGAAGAGTTCTTTTGAAAAAGTTTTTATTTGAAAGATAAAGGGGAGGAATGATCTTGTTATTTACTACAGCTGTTAGCACTGATTACAGGAGGAACTGGGAGCTCTTAAGTGTTGAAGTGTATGGAGTAATTGACAGCCTTTGACAGATGAGAAAATGGAAGCGTTTAAAATACTTAATGTTATCAGAATGGGTATATTATCTGTCAGTTTCTGCTATAGAGCACCAATAACCATAGTTCTGGACCCAAGACTGAATGGAAACTGTTCCATTTCATTTATATCCAATCACAAAATCTGGGTTTATTGTTGAGCTTTTGAAAAACTGAATATTTGGGCATAGGGGAAATTAATTCCCTTTATCTCCTTGACGTTTGTCTTGTTGCTTAGTTGTAACTGCAGTGTAGCTAGAACTTCCTGGCTGGAAAATAGTTTTGCAGATGCTGCACTGTTTTTCTGACTTTTGTAGGAATGCAGGCATTTGTTGCACAGAGTTCCTAACTCGTCCTCTCTCCTTCAGTCTTTTGTTTTGTTGTTTTTTTAATTGGAAATGTAAATAAACTTTTTTCTTTTTTTTTTTTTTTCCTGGAAACAGCATATGAAACATTATCAGATGAGAACAAACGAAGAGAATATGATCAGTTTGGCCGTCATGGAGGACAAGGGAATAACGGAAGCCCATACCGTCAGTCATTTAATTTCAACTTTGATGACCTGTTCAAAGACTTTGATATCTTTAGTCAAAACTCACGGTCAAAAAAGCACTTTGAAAATCACTTCCAGAGTCATCGGGAAGCTCACAACCGGCAAAGACGTTCTTTCCAAGAGTTCTCCTTTGGAGGTGGACTGTTTGATGATGTGTTTGAGAACATGGAAAAAATGTTTTCGTTTAGTGACTTTGAAAATGCACACCGACACGCCGTGAGAACTGATTCCAGGTTTCACGGATCCAGCAAGCACTGCAGGACTGTCACTCAGAGACGAGGAAACATGGTGACCACATACACAGACTGTTCAGGACAGTAGTGTTTCCTTTCTTTTCATCTCTTCTTCCAACATCTTCATGATCTTTCTTAACTTTGTCCTAACATGGAAAAAAAAATCTTAACTATTCTAAAAAAAAACACTTAACTGCAATAAAGAAATTGTAGATGAAACTAATCTTCAGAATAGAAACAATGTATGTTTGGGAAGTAAATGTCTCAGTAACTACTTAAAATGGGGGAGAAATAATCTCACAGGACAGAAAATGCTATGGATTTGAGTTTAGTAAATACTTTCTGTAATTTTGAACTTCAACACAAGTATTTCTAATTTCAGAAATGTAATATAATTTTTTCATGTATGCCAGTTCAGGACTGTTTAAGTTACTGGTGCATGGATTTCAGCAGAGGAGATGATACTTTAATTTTGAAGTGCTGCTTTTTCTTTATCACGTCCTTCCAAGTTTGCACTTGCAGTTTTTACCCGATAAGGACTTACTGTGCAAGTTAGATAATTTACACAAAATAGCAGCAGAAATATGACTTACCTGGGTCCTTTTTACTCTTTGTCTTTGTACAGCGTTGCAAATGTATTAATGAAAAAAATACTTTCTAAAGCTGGAAAATAACAAGAGAGAATGTTAAGATTGTGCTTTGCCTAGGAGAGTGATATAGTAATTAACTTTTATTTACAAATAGCCTTTCATTGGCCTGAAAGATCTTAAGATTTGAATAACCCCAGACTTACTTAAGGGATATTTGTGCATATAAGCTTGTGTGCACACAAAGCCTTTTTTTGTTTGTTTGCTTGTTTTCCTTCCAACATACAAATATCTTTCAAACAGGTTTGGAAGAGCACACCGAAAATGCTCTTTGTTTTATGCTTATTACATTACCATGTGTGCAGTGTTGTTTCTGTAGCTCAGTTTATTGAACTTAAATACTCCTCTGTGTTTTTGTGAACTTTAACAAGACAAGGTTGCCTGCAGATTTCTAGTGTTTCTGGAAGGGTCTAAATAAAAAATAGATTTTTTTTTTTATTGACAGATTTATTACCTGTCATCAGGAATTTTTCAGCACTGTGATTTGAAAGGTGAATTTTTAGCATAAACACATAGTAAAAGTGGAAATTACAATTGTATTTACCTGATGCCTTGTGGTGCTGCAGTCTGCTAATAGGGACAGGACTAAATGGGCATAAGTTTCAGCACCATGGAGATGAATGACCCCTATAAACTATTTAAAACTACAAAAGAAAGCAAACAAGAAAAACCTGAATATTCTAACTGATGTCAACCAAAAAGTTCCATTTATTTCTTAACTAGTAGTACAGGTTTATGATTGTAAATTGCTTCCTCTTAATAAGATTACTGTCACCCACATATTAACATCTCTGTAGAATTATGCCCTAAAAATTTGCCTTTCAGCTTGATTGCATGAGCAAAATGAGCATTTTAAACAGCAGTGTTCTACCTAGACTTTGAGTTCTTAATATCCTTACCAAAAGAGGTTTAACCCTTTACTTCTTGGATGAATATTGAAAGCTGCCTATTTGCTAAGTAACCTTCCCCAAGGGGTACGTAGTATTGCTTGTTCAGTTTTCACTCACTAAATACTTGGAATGGATTGTTGCATTATGTTAAGTGCTTTTCCTTTTCCATGTTCTCCTTTATTTATTAATAGACTAATACCTCATATATGGTCTTTATAAAAAGCCAGTAATTTGTGCAACGTTATTGGAATGTGCAATATTCTTTAGTAGGAAAGTGCTGGAGTGTGTTTATTTCCACCCTTTTTCAATGTAAGTAGAGATTTTTAGTTTCTTCTTTATGATTAATATATGATTCAACCAAAAGTTGTAATTCATGTAGATTTCTGCTTTTTTTTCTTTAATGTACTCCATCAGTCCTGTGCATGAATCAGATGATCTGTCTGATTCATATCATATGGGCATCCCATTGAACAAATTAGAACTTAATGTTCTGAATTGCTTTCTTTCACAAAGTATTTTTAAGTGGGCATTTCTGTATGCATTTGAGGAGAATTGTTCATGCTGGTAAAACTCGGGAAGGACGTGGCCTTTAGTATTAAATGTAAGAGTATTAGTGAATGTCCTTCAGGGATAATGACTGCTGGAACATAGAGGTGGGAGGCAACTCTAGAAGCAGGATGCAAAGGTAAAATGTTAATACCTACCTTAGTCTAGTGAACATTTTCTTAACTGAAGGGGAAAAAAACCTTGAAACATCAGGATAAGCAGTTCTTAAGCATGAGAGAATGAATATTTAAATTCCTACTACAACCAAACCACTGACTTCTCCAAACATGTTTTTTTTCCACTTAATGAAGTTGGGTCAGTTCTGTAATCCTTAAGCAGAGGAATAAAAGATAAAATGAGCACTGTAGGAAACACAGCCACTCCCAAAATTAAGTTTAAGTCACTACGAGTTCACTGCCTTTCAGGCTTAGCTTTCAGTTAAAAATCAAGGGTTCTTGCCTGCTTCTAGGCTAGCTTCCTCTCTTTAAGGGTGTTCCAAGCTTTATTCGTACAAAGTGTACTTGTTTTCCATAACTCTTTAATGTCAAAGTATGAAACTGATGGTAAAACAATAGGGTTACTAGTTTTTTAGCAGATAGTACCTTAGAAAGACTTCTAGCTAGCCTATTTTTATCTGCTTCCATATTAGTTCTCTGAATTTCTTCTCATAGGTAAACCAACTTCATATTATTCTTGTGGCTTCTGCAAGTGACCTTTCTGCTGCTTTGGTGGTTGATCCAAGGTGAAATCCAAAGGAGAGCCTTTTGCTAGTGTTGTAGTCTGATGTGTGGCTGTCTGTGTGACTTTCTGTGATGGATATGCTTTGAACAGAATTTAGCTGAAGAAGGGCCACAAAAATGATCAGATGAATGGAATACCTCTCTAATGAGAACAGGGTGAGAGAGCTGGGGTTGTTCAGCCTGGACAAGTGAAGACTCCAGGGAGACTTTATTGTGGCCTTTCAGTTCTTAATAGGGGCCTGTAAGAAAGGTGGTGACAGACTTTTTAGCAGGGCCTGTTGCAATTGGATGAAGGGTAATGGTTTTAAACTAAAATAGGGGAGATTCAGGTTGCACTTGATAAAAAAAAATCTTTACAATGAGTGTGGTAAAATACTGGTACATGTTGCCCAGAGAGGTGGTGGATGCACCATCCCTGGCGACATTCAAGGCCAGGCTGGATGTGGTTCTGAGCAACTTGATCTAGTTGAAGATGTCCCTGCTCATTGCAGGGGGGTTGAACTCGATAACCTTTGAAGGTCCCTTCCAACTCAACCTTTATGATTCTATAAGTTCAGGCAGGCTTTCCTCAGGCATCAACCTTCAGTTCCACAGCTGTCAGAGCACAGGCTGGCAAAGCATGATGTGCTTCTCACTTATTCAGAGCTCTTGCACATTCTTTGCCTATTTATAGTGTTTGCTTCATGGCAGGCTCTCCAGTGGAAGCCCTGACATAACCCTATGACACCCCTGACTTACAAGGGCCATCTTTGATCTCCAAATCTTGTGAAAAGACCTATCAAAACCTATTACTTTTTCTTTGTAGTGTGAGGGTGAAAAATACGATTCTTTGTGATTTGTTGAAAGGCATTTGTGCATATGTAACTCCAAATGGTTGAGTTTCTAAAACCTTACCAAAAACCTCAGTTGCTTTTTCATGTTTGTTTTTTTTTTCCATTATACTTTTGAAACACAATATCTGGTGGAGATAAAAGTACTGTAAATGTAATTAGGGTGCCATTACATTAAATGTGAGAATTGTTTGTGTGTGATGTCTTTTTTTTTTCTTTTTATTTTTTCTGCAAGACCTACATTGAAGCCAAATTCAAGTGGGTTCTGTGGCACTTGTGTCTTGTGGAATATTTTGACTACTGCATCTTCCCTGAATGGGATGAGGGGGTTTGCAGGGAGAAGGGTTCAAAGAAGCTGGCTTAATTTTGCCTGGTTTGTATTTTATTTTATTTTTTTTTTAGGGGTGTTGGGAATGTGTTCATTCAATTCAGGCCTGTTCATTCAGTTTATTATGCCTGTAAGCCAAGCAAATAAAAAAGCCTGTGCAAAAGGTAGGTTTTCTGCAAGGCAATAGGTGCAAGAGCTGAAAGCTTTCAGCTGCTGGGTCTCTCCCTGTGCTCTGGCTGCTCCCCTGAGACATGGATGAACAGGATGACCACTGCTAACTGGCCTGGATTGCCACTAGACTGCAGGTGCTGAAGCCAAGGTTAAAATGCTGTTGTATGGACTTGAAAGTTGACTGCACCTTGCTTGGAGGTTCTTGTTTTCTGGGTCTAACCCTTAGAAGGTGGAGGGTATGAAAGTTTTGGGGTTCAGTATGTCTGGTTAGGCTGTTTCTCATCAGAACAGTCTTCCCTGGAACTTTGGCAAACCTGCTGTCTTAAAAGCGCAAAACCAGGTTTTGAGGACTAAATGTGTTGGAGAAAGTGGAAGATCTATTTTTTTTTATGCTGAGTTGTGTGGTTTGGGTTTTGGTTTTTTTGGGTTTTTTCATTATTTAGAAATTGAAAACACCACAGAGGTGTCTGTTGGACTTGAAACAAAAGTCCTGTGTAGAGTATACCTTGACTGTGCTCTGTACAGGTCTGACTTCAGAATAAAATGCTGTTCAGGGAATCATTTGGCTGTGGTGGCTGATGTTGGGCCCAACCAGTCTGCCTTCAGTGATTCACACAGCCCTGCCACCTGCTCTCTGTAGTATGGGCACCTGCTGCTTCAGGGACTAGACAGAGACCAGCTTTGTAGATGACTTAGCAGTTGTGGTATCAGTTGGCTGGCAGTCAGTACCAGGGTGAGTCTGAATCAGCCTTAGGTTAAGGCTGCCACTCATCCTTGATTCCAGTTTGCTTAAAACATGCCCCCAAGAACTGCTTTGAAGTAAGGTACTCCAAAGTTTAGGCACAGGGGGAAATGACATTTTATATATGGCGTGTTACCTATGAAGCAGTGGTGTTTGATTCAGCAGTATTAATTTTAAGAGCTATGGTGACACTGAAATGAACATTAGTGCTAGTGTTCCTACTGTGGTTGCAGTCACACCAGAAGGTGCTGTGGTGGAGCTGAGGTCCCTTGGGATGGCTGTGGTATTCTGTTGAGACTTAGAGGCAATAGCTGGAGGTGGTGGACCATCTTTCCCAAACAGTTCTGGGGCAGTCCACCAAGGAATGAATGTACACATGTGTCCTGGATTCAGCAGTAGCAGTCATTTTTCTCCTCGGTAGCTGGTGCAGTGCTGTGTTTTGACTTTCGCCCTGGGAACAGAGCTGATAATGATGTTTTGGTCTGGCCAAGGACTTTGTGAGCCTCGTGCTCTGCCAGGGAGGAGGGGAAGCCGGGAGGAAGCAGAGATAGGACACCTGACCCAAACTGACCAAAGAGGTATTCCATACCACAGCACGTCATGCCCAGGATGTAACTGGGAGTTAATCGGAAGGACAGGGGGTTCTTCTGGGTCAGACTCGTTTTCTGGCGGGTGATATTGAACTTTCTCTTATCATTGTTAGTGGTAGCGGTGGTGATTTGTGTTGTACATTGGTTGCTGGACTGTTCTTATCTCAACCCGTGGGATTTGCATTCTTTTGATTATTCCTCCCCATCCCTTCGGGAGTGGGGAAGGAGGGAGCCCCTGCGGGGGGGGCCATGCAGGCCTTGACTGCTTTCAGCCTGGCACCACTCACTGGGAGTGAGTGCATAAACTGTCTGGATGGGGTTAAACCATGACAACATGGTATCAACATATAAGTGTATATTCATAGGTTTTGGTTTTGTGTTTTTTTTTTTCTTGGGGGGGATATTTATGTTTTTATTTATTTTCCTTTGTGTTGCAGGTCTGTTGAGGGTGTGAGTTGTGTATTTCTCAAGGCTAGCAAAAACCCCAACACTTCTCAAAAGTATCCATGAGCAGAAAAAGAGAGGTGCCTGACCTGTTTTTGCTGATGCCTGCTCTCCAGCACAGGCAGTGAGGAAGGGGGGCTGGCAGTAACCCTAAGTAGTGCCTGTGAGAGCGCAAGCCTGACCTCAGGGCTGCTTACTCCAAGTTCCAAGTGGAGGAACTGTGGGTGGCATACGTCTGTAAGCCAGAAGCACAAGCAGAAACAGTTACAGGCTGGCTGTAGAGGAACTGAAGGAAATGCTTGCAGTGATTACTCGGCTCTGATGGTTCAACCAGGTTTTTATGTCACAGCACCCCTCACTGCATGAGGATGTCACCCTCTACCCTGGGACTTCTCCAGGAAGTAGTCAGGATGGAAATAAGTGTTTCTGTTTTAACTGTTGATCGAGACCTAGATGAAATATTTGTATGACCCTTTTCTCCAGGTAAGGCTGCCTGGTTAGGGAGCGTGTGCTAGTAGTGGGAACTTGGGCTGGCTCCAGAGAAAGACCAGGAACTGTGGAAGATCCAGGGGGGACATAAACACTGTTGGCGTAGTTTGTCTACCAAAACACGAATCCCCTGCAATGCAAAATGGAGCACTGTTTTAATAATATGATCTGTGAGGCAGGCAGTGTATAGAGAGTTCTGGTGTGACTTCAGGGATTATTACAGATGTGCTGCAGGGTATAAGATGAGCTGCAGGATAGTGTCCTCAGCCTGATCTGGGGTGTGGAGGGTAGAGTATTGTTTCAGAGCCTGGAACATCTGCTGCTGAGGGTGAATGAGGTCAGCCTGCTCCAGAAGTGCAGAATATTGAGTAATCCACTTACCATGGGGCTATGCCTGTGTTGCTGTCTGCTGAAACTTCAGTTTCCAGTTTCACATCAGACCCTCTTGCTAGGCACCACTAGTTACTAGAATTTTGTCTAGACATGAGGAAGAATACACTTTGAGTGGTTACTTGTTGGTGATATTGCCATCATCTGTGATTCATCTCCCACTGACATGGGAGCAAATGAGTTAAATGTGAAATGAGAAAGAGGAAGTGAGTCTTGTCTGAGGGCTCCCACTTGAGTTTAATCCACTGCCTTTAAGCCCTGATGGTAATGCTGAGCATTCAGAATTCCAGCTGAGGAAGAATTTCTACCCAAATTCCTTACTGAATCCAAACATTCTTTTCATTCAGTCTTTCTACTTTAATATGTAAATTGGTGACATGAATGTTTTAACATAATATGGGTCTTTGACCGGCCAGACAAGCTAACACACGCTTGGGCTGATGGTTCTGCTACCTCTTGGTAACTCAGACCTAGAGACAGACGGGGAGGCAGGGCAGAGGGAGTACTGCTAGGATCAGCATGCAGATGTTATCACTTGTGCACTTATATATGAAAACAGTACCTGTGCGGGTGCAGCATATATACATAGAGCTTGCTTCTGCAGCAACTGAATGCAAAATGAGGCTTGTTGGTAGAAGTGTTACTAATATCAAGAAACACATTGTTTCCTCCTATTCTTAACACCCCTCTTCTTACACTCCCTCTTGTTGCTGTCAGGGCTCTACTCTGCTCCAGTCCTCCTTTTCCCACTTGGCAATGGCTATAGTTACTACGTTTCTAATTGCCTGTCAATTTACTTCAGTCCCTGCATGCGCAACAGATTTTGCAACCCAATGCAATTTTTTGAAACTGTACAAACCATTTCAGTGCAACCTAGTTTCTTCCTGTCTGTGTTTCCCCATATGTGCCAAGTGCACAGCATGGGGTTTTATATGGGTTTTCTGCTTCTGTTCTTTCTGTGGAAGGACAAATTGATACCCAATCTTGCATAAAGCGAGACAGGTGCTGACAGATGATATCTTGCAGAAAATCTGCTGATATAAATTTAACCTACAAGTGTTTTAGAAAAAAAAATCAAAAAGTTGACCTGTCAGGATGAATTTCCGTCTGATCAGCGCTTTGCGGGATGACCTTGCAGTTCCAAAATACAATCTAACCCTCACAGGCCCCCCCAAAAATCCCAAGCCCCCTACCTCGGTGAGTGTGTAGACTAACTTGAGCAGGGTAACTGTTGTTTTCTCTTGCAGCATTTCTTCTGTGTTGAGGGAAACGGAACTTTCAACACATGATAAATCACAGAATGGTTTGAGTTTCAAAGGACCTTAAAGATTATCTCGTGTCACTCCTTTACCCCCCCCCAGGGACGCCTTCCTCTAGACCAGGCACAAAATTAAAAATCAGACTTAAAAACACAAATGATTTGAACCATCAGTAGGAGATACTGGAATAAAAAGACTGGAGCACTTAGACCTCCATAGGTAGCTTTAAACTCGCTGATTATTTCAACATACTGGCACACAACAAAAGGGAGATACGGCTCTTAATGAAGTTATCCCCTTGTCAGCTAATTTTTATTAACTGTTTCTAAGTGCTGTTTTAAGTCGGCCAGATACAAGGGGTTTGGAACAACTTACATGTCCTTCACTAGCTGTGAGAATGCAAGCAGTTGCTATGAGTTATCGCTGCTCAGACCCACAGTAACTTATTAGATGCTCATAATTCAGTCATGCATTTGAGCTCTGACCTTGGGTTACTCATGGTTACATAAATAATCTGAGATAGGCCCATGAGGAGAGACCAGATTTCTTGGCTCCTAATATTGTATCCTTATCATGAGGTTATTCTGACTCCAGTCAATTAAGTCATTTCTCCCTAATCAGTGTCAAATTAACATGTGGCATCAGGCAATGTTTTTGGCTGTATTACAAACACATCCTGCATATGCAATACTTTTATTGAAATACCTTTCTTCTATTGTGGTGAAGGTGGATAAGCAACTACCCAGGTTTTGTGTTGATAGTACTGTATCTTTATCATGTGTGGATCT